AAAAAATCAAAATGCTGTTATAAATATGCAAAAAGAAATTTGATCAAATTGTGGCTTTTAAATGGCCAAATTGGTTTTCGATAGCTACCAGGATATTTTAATTTTTAACTTTTTTTTTTTTTTTTTGGAATTAAGACTGGAAATTGCTTCCTTGTAGTCTCCAACTTGCTCAAAAAAAATTTGAGCCTAACAAAAAGATGTTTGGAATTTGCTAATCGTATATTTAGATTTACCATTTACATAACATAAAGGGAATATATAACTAAATCATATTTAGTTAAGTTATTAAGTTAAGTTCGAAAGTTATGCGTGATTATAAATAATTTTTCTTAAAGATCACATAAAAATATAAAAGATTCACTTGGAATCAAGTTGAATTACATTGTTATAAGAAGAGCTCATTTGTCAAAATCTTTAAAACTTAAGTTTTTGTAACTTTTTTTATTTATATTATAAAGATGTATAACTCAGCTACTTTTAGACCAAAAATGTTCAAATAAGGTTCATTTTATAAGTTATAAAAAGACCTTGCTATAGGGCTTTTATTAAAGAACAGCTTCATAAACTATAATGAGTTGAACATTTAAAAAAAAATCTGAGAATTTGTATACATTTCTACAAATTAGTTATTCGTATAACAGTGAAAATAAACTTGATTCCAAGTAAATCTTATGTATTTTTTTAGTGATCTTTAAGAAAAAACTAATCGAACTTAATGAGTTAATATGATTTAATTGAAAGTCTTGTTACTTTCCTATATTTTATTTAAATGGAAAAATTAAATATGCGATGAGTAACTTAACATTTTTTTGGAGGGCTTAAATTTAAGCAGGCGAATTTCGGCAACTTGATTGGTGACGAAAATCTTGAAATACTTGAGATCCACCGAAAATCAGGACAAGTCGGTTCAGGCGCGAAGGCGAGTGTTGTACATTTCGGAAGAACGCGATGAATATGTTGGAACATCTGAACCAAAAGTAGCGATCCGTAGAGCTCCAGACGTGGTATGGATAGTGATTTGTCAGATGTGGTATTCTTCAGAGGAGCAACTTTGTTTTTACATGCGTGATAAACTTCACCGACGTCTCTAGTGTCATTGATACTCCACAGGTATAAAGTGGCCACATAACCCTTGACAGATGCATCCGTGAAGCCCAATAATTAAATATCTTGCTACATATAACTGGAATATAACCAAGGATATTTAAATTGAATACGGCTAGCAGCTCCGATCGGAATTGACGTCACGTGGACAATAATTCGTTGGACATTGGATCGTTCCACCTGAGCTTGCTGAAGACAACGACTGCATGAAGCACTTTGCCCACAGTAACAACGGACAAAGCGAGCCGATGGGATCAAACAAGTGCACAATGACTGAAAAACTTGACGTTTTATACATCTGGTTTGTTGAATGCTGATGTGATAGGCGAAGTTGTCGTTACTCGTGTCCCAATGGAGACCAAGGATCTTAACCGAATTCTCGTCCCATAGGTCAAATGATACGAAAGCAATTCGATCTTCAGAAAGGAGAGACTCGACGACGTGGGCACTGTTACTCGTCCACTTGTTTAACCCATAAGCTCCGCTGCGAAGTAAACATATAAAAGCATGTTTTCGAGGAAATAGTTGTTCTTCAATATCAGCACCGATAACAACGTCGTCGACATAGGCTGTTTGAATGAGGACACTACTTGCTAATGGAAAGCGATGACCGTCTTGGGCATCAAGTTCGTCTAGACAACGGATTGCAAGGAACTTCGTTCCCAGTTGAAATTTTTGGATATCGTTGCCAAAATTTGTGTTAGAAGACGCGATCTTTCGAGCGGATTAAAATTTGTCGGTACATTTTTACAATGTTGGCGGTGAAAATATATCTGTTCACTCGGCAACGAAGTAAGATGTCACGCAAGTCCGTTTGCAATTTGGGAGTGGTACACAGTACATCGTTCAAAGAACGACCAGATTAGGAGATGGAAGAAGCATCGAAGACTACGCGTATTTTTGACATACTGCTGATGGCCTTGAGCACAGCGTGGTGTGGAATAAAATATTTTCCAGGCTCTGGAGCTGGCACCATATGACCCAATGCTAGTATGTGGACATGAACTGCCGATAAGCAGCGTAAAGCTCGGAATCCTTTGTTAACCGTCTCTCATGGTTATAAAAACGTTTCAAAGCCATCGACCGAGACACACCAAGGCCATAAGACGACGAAGCTTGATGATCTACCGAATAACTAAAGAAATCACGGAATAATAATGCGACGCAAAATCGGCCCAAGGAATCACGTAACGTAGAATTTTCGAAATATTCACCACACCACTGATTTTCAGCGGTGAGTGATATTGGTGTGGACGGTTCTTCGACTGCCCAAAAGTTTTGCAATAGGTCACCGACAAGTGAATCGACAGCGGTCGTTCAAGTGACCAAAGGTGGAGTGTTAGATGTCGAGAAAACTATCCAGTCGAGCTGAGTATCTAACGCAAATGGTAAACCAGTATGATGTTTAATACCGGCGTACGGGCAGATAAGACAAGGTAAAATGTCTACACCGAATAGAACATCAATGCGCGACGGAATGTCAAAGTCCTTATCAGCGAGTCGGAGATGTTGATACCGTTAATGCACGCTTTACGGTAGATATATGGACGGCATAGCAGTGGTAATCTGCGTTAAGATGACCAGGCTAACCGACGGGAACACATAGTCCGATTTTAAGTTCGGCGAAAATTTACAACTGGTTACACCCTCCACGTGAGACACTGGACCGCGCAAGACCCGCGATATCGGACATAATATGACGCTTAGGGAGCCCTAATCGAGCTAAACAGCCGTGATTTGGGATCCGCTACCAAGGAGTACCCGAATAGCGTGAACTTGATCCCGGGCGTCCCTAATATTAATTATGGCCGTGCCTAACACCACCGTGAAGTGTCCATGCACGCAGCATCTGCAAACGAACTAGAGCTGTCGGTTGAGGGACCAATACTAAAGGCTGAGCTGGAACTCTGAGCAGTATTGTCCGCCGATTATATTTGATCTTGATCCGCATGTAATATGGAATGGTGACATGGCATATTATATGCCTGAAACCTTGTCGTAATCGATTTTGTTTTTGTTTACGTATGAAATTTAGCGATAAATAATAAGACTTGTCAAATATTACGCCACTCTATTTTGTATATCCTAGTTACCTAGTGGATGCTATGTAGAGCCTAGTATCTTAATTACGTGCCTATAACAATGAACTACTCTTAAGCCGTATCAATTTTTTGTATTTTTTTCGTGCTTTAATAGAACATTCAATCAATTCAAGATCATTTTTTTCAAAATTTACATTTGTCTTTACTTACTAATTAGGCAGGTAGACAGCGTTGTGAACTTTTATTATATCGTATCGATTACACCATAGGTGTGATTTGTAACAAAATTAATCAACTAGACCAGCGCAATTTTTCCACCGAAAACAATATAATATTATTTCCCGTATAATATATCCATATAACATCCGTCTAATCGTTTCTTCCAAGGCTCGAGACCAAAATCCAACGGCGGAACAGAAGGAATACGATTGTAATAGCCGTAGGTAGTCCATCGGTTCGTACGCTGTACCTACGTTTTATCCGAAATATTATATATGATCAAACGGGTTTATGATAATCATAATACGAATGAAAACCGTGATTACCCATTATGTGTCTCATCAAATTATTGCGCGTTGCAGCTGTAGATGGTAGGTACACACTGTACGTACGTGGCCGAATCGCTTATTCTACGCGTTCCGTTGAAAAATTCAAAAAACATAATTAGATCCACAAGACGCGCGTACAAACCTCTATAAATATAATATAATACATTATTATAATATAAGTGTATAACAGGGCGTATCAAACGAGGTGGGTATAATGTATATTCCAGACGATTTTGCAGTATAGGATATTTTCTACTTGTGTTTAGGAAACACGTTTTTTTTTTTTCTGAATACGACAAAATCATCGTTCTGCTTAATATATAGTTAAGTATAAAATATTATCATTACGCTGGTCGGTGTCTTTATACGTCGTAATATTATAATGTATAATATCATAGACGAACGCTCCGTACATAATAAAAATAATAATGATATACGTGTGTATACACCGCGGTCTAATTATAACAAGACCGCGTGAACGCCTCCTGCTGCCGCAGATGAGACGCGCTTGCACCTGGCTAATAAACAGAGTTAAGTGCAGACTACACTCGATATTTTGAATGCATTGATTTTTTTCAACAAACTTTCTTAATTTTTATAATTTAAGAAAAAAAACATCTCTAAAATGTTACATTTACATTATTTTTATCGCCATTATTTTCGGGGGTGTGATACGATTATCTACCATTCGATTCTCGCCAACCTGTCGACAAGATATTCTACTTTTAAATTTGAATAGAGGTAGAGTAGCGGATTACAATCGATTTGTGTCGCCACACAAACCAAGGTTCCGCTATTCCATCTATACCCGAGATGGGAATATCTCGTTGACGGAAATCAAAAATGTCGATTTATGGAATTTTTGTATTATGGGTTGCCGTTTGAAGGTCGAAAATGAATACCTAAACCTTGAGGTTTCAAAAATAAGGGTGCCAAAAAAAAAAAATAATAATAATAATAATATTAACATAAACATGAGTAATACATTTTAGAACATTGTTGTTTTTTAAATTGTCGAAAAACCGTTTTGAAAAAAAAAAAAAAAAAAAAGTCGATAATTTTCGAAATGTATAAATATTTATGTGCGTTACGTTTCGAGCGTGTGGCCGCTTGCGAGAAACGGATCGCGCCGCATAATACGGCGGGCGCTGGGCGATCGGCGGCCGTGCGAACGGATATCGGATTTCGCGCAGAAATATAATATGCAAGGCGAGTATACGACGTAACGTAATAGTGGAAATCGCAAACGGACGGTAGGGGTCGGTGGGCGGAGAGGGGAGGGGAAGGAAGCGGTAATAATACGCGAGTCCGTTGGAAAACCGAGTCTAGTTACGGGCACTACGACCGTCATCGGCACCCGTTTATAATACGCTCGTGCAAGATTTTTATTTTCTGTTTTTTTTTTTTTTTTGTTTTTTTTTTTCCCGTTCCCGTCTTTCTTATTACGCCGACCGACGCCGCCGCCGATTCGTGTAATAATAACAACAACAATAATAATAATAATAATAATAATAATTATAGCGCGGTCTCTCGACTCGCGGAGCCGGAGGACTTTTTTCATTTTTTTCTACCGACGCCGCCGCCCAAGTATTAATATTATAATAATATCGGCGCGTACACGCGGGTCGTACAGTGCGCGTACAATAATCCAGCAGGACGCGCTCTCGTATTATATGCACACTATCATTATTATTATTATTATTATTCACGAGATAACGTCATAATAATAATAATAACATCGCGCGTACATGATAATAACAATATTATTATTCCGGTTTTCCGCGTGTTGTAATATGATTATTATTGTGTCCGGACGGTACCACCCCGGTGCCGATCATCGACCGATCTCCCCGGACGCTGCGGTCTCGCCGCGGACGTCCCGTTATGACTCAATTAGCACGTCTCGTGTTATGATAATATGCGCGCGACTCGCACGCCCGTCCTCTCCGGCAGACGAGGTCCGGAAACTGGGCAACCGATCGCTTGTGGAGAACTTTGCGAGACCCCTTATCGGCCTGACCGTCAAGCCGGGTCCACGCTAGAGCGACTTTTCCGATTGCGAAATGTCGCCAATTCAAAAGTCGACAAATGTTGCCGCGTGTTTGTAAAATCTCGAACAACCTAAAACATACTCATTACTCAGTCACTATTATGTACGTAGTTTTCCGTGTTGTGAATAAGTCGTAATCGTTGTTACCTTTGTTTATTTCACGATTGTATTGGGTATGGAAAATTATATCCTCTGAACGTGATAAAAGTTTTTTAATTGTCTGATTAGATAGAAGAGAAAGATAATCTTATAAGAGATCAAGATGCACTATCAATAAATGCTTTAATGCATCAATAAATAAAAGGTTCAGGTGACTAATGTCATTCTATGATATACAACTTCGAAAATTAAACGTCAGGTGTTACGGGAAAATTGTAAGAGAAAATTATATTTTGATTTTAAAAGATACTGCATAAATTAAGACAAATTCGTTTTTCAATTACTGGATTAGGCGTCAGAATATTTTAAGTTTTCATGTGAATTTTTAAATGTCAACATGTAATACAAACACGCCACTATATATGGTGACGTTGCACAGAAACTCGTGTTCAATAGTACTGATTAGGTTATGGTTTTTATTTTGAACGCACTCCATAGTGCGGAGTATACCAAAAACAGTAAAACATACTTGATCGTACTGTAACCATCGCTTAGAGAGGCAATATCGTACATTTCTAGGTTAGCTTGAAAAATCATAATTGTAATCCAGCTATATTATCTAAGGAATAACATTTTAATTTCGTTCTTATATTAAATATACTATTCGTAAAAAAGTAAATATTACTTGGCGCTTTTATAAACCATATAGTTATAAACTACAATTTTAAAAATATGAAAACTGTCCTTTTTACAACCAGTAAGTAAATAAAAGATAATTGATATCAGTATTTCAAACAATTTACTATGTATAGTCTGTATTTTATAACTTCGATACCTAGTTGGGTATTATCAATTTATTGCATTCAGGCATTCTATGATTTGAATATATTCTTCTATGCGTATATACATACTACCTGTATAGTTTTTAAAGTGATTTTAATACAAAACTAATGAACGTCGTATAATTGTTGATAAAGTGTTTGAAAACAAAGCTTATAAAAATAAATAGTGAAAAAAATTGTAAACAATATAAAATGTGTGCGCATGTCAGCAATCGGATATCGGAAAAAAAACTTATAGTTAATGGAAGAAAAAACCGTATTATAATCGGATATTTTAAGCCAAGTTTTTATTTTCCCACGTGAAAATGTGAACATAGTCGATTTTGACAATAATTTTCAGAACATTTATAGAGATTCAGTCCAATTATATGTTTTACACGCGTTTAATGAAAATAGAAATAAAATAATGTATAATATATTTTCGTTAGGTTTACACGGTCGATTAAATTTACACACTATAAAAAACCACGAAATCGTGTCCATTTACTGCAGGTTTTAGAAAACAATTATCTTTTTCGACTATCCAGTACCTTCTTAAAGGTGAAACCGTTTAAAATAATCTCATTACAATTATACTTAATAATATTAGTTCTCATCTGTATTTTTTTCTATCGCGGTCATTGTAGAGTAATTCGGTAATAGGCCGTTAATTTTTGCAATTATCCATTTATTTTTTTTTAAAATAAAAAACCCACCGTGAATCGTATCAATAGGTGTAATGTATTGTAACAAATTTAAAAAATCTAGTACATATACCCTAATACTTTAAAAATTACGGTATGGGAGGGGTATGAGAGGTTATCTACATATTGGTGCGCTGGACATTTTTATACTTGAAGCAAAACAAAAACATGAGGACCCACCAACCCGCCCGAAACATGGATTTTTGTACGTCCTATAAATAATTTTTAAATTCTAATTAAAACCTAAAATATCTATATTATACCTACCTGTATAATATTGTTCACGGACAATGTCATGCAGAACAGCTATATATTAAAATGTATAATTAATAACTGTTATACTAGTTTCGACTATAAGCCGTTAGCCTTAGGTAACAAGCAAATATTAAATTTGTACTTTTTGTTGAACCGACGGTAGGCGTTTAGTATTTCATTTTCAATTGTTAATAATGATAACGAGTGTTAAGTGTTTACTCTAGAATACTAGTGGATCGCATATAGTTTTTTTTTTTTTTTTTTTTACTAAAAATGACTAAAAAACGAACGTTATCCGGAACAAATTATAGTTATTTATTACTGTTGTACTAAGACACATTCTTAGAACTGTAACATTATTTGAAAACATGTGAAAACTTTAAATAATAATAAGTTATTTGTTAGAAACCGAAACAATCGTACCTATAATAGTAATGTTTTTTCGGCGTATTGATTGTCACTAGTTGACACATAATTTATTTAAAACTCATTACACACGAAACGTCTATCGTTTAAAATATGCTTAAATTTCGACCAAAGGATAGCTGGCAGAGGTCGCGATACCACAGTTGTTGCCCATGTTACGGGCCATCAATATGCAACCACCGTCACCCCATTTCTTACCCCAAGAGTTCTTAACGATCCAGTAGTCGTCTCGCGATTTCGTAGTGTTGTGACCAACAACCATAGTACACCGCAGTTGAGATGTGCAGTACTAAATTTGGACGAGCAAAACACGCTTCTTTAAAAGCGAAATCCAAACGGAGTAGTGTCGACGGCAGCGGATACCGGTTCAACGGTAGCCAAGACGTCCGCGAGAGCGTTTTCGTCTCCCGAGGCAACGTCTACGAAACCTGCGTCGTAAGCCCCCGGGTCCTACGCGGACTTGTACCCGCACTCTTGTTGCTGTAAATATTCCAAAACGAATCGTTTATTACAGTATGAGATTAACAACAATATAACGTCTTACTTCGCCTGTATACGAATAATAATTCTCGGTGTCAATTCCTCCGTTATACTTGACGTGTTTTAAGAAGGCATTATCCATTGTGCCGCCAGCACAGCTTTGATTACTGAACGACATAGAACAATCGACCAAATTTTGTTCGCTCAATGATACGAGTTTACCAGTTTTCCGGAAATTTTACCCTTCTAATGATCCCACCTAAAATTATAATATATCGTTTTGTACGATTCGATAACATAATATTATATTAACATAACGAAATACATTTTACGCGAACTGAAATAAACGGGTGACATTTCAAATTATTAATGATTTTGCATTTTGTAAAACAGTATATTATGGCGCGATTGAATTTTAGTAAACCAGGTTATTGTACAAATTAGATTGCCAAAACTTACGCTACTGAACGCACATCACGACAAGCATCCGTTCCATTGGTCTTTGACGGGAGTCACGTATCCTTTCTTCCTCCAGTCAACCGATCTTGGGATAACCTCACTTTCAGATCTCAAAAAAGTCACGGAATCGCCATCATCAGTGTCATTTTTTTTGAAAAGCGATTAAAGCCGTTCGTTTTCGCATTTTCATTTCATGATCAGCCTAAAATATAACAACCACTAATGATTGATCGATTCTAACACCTAACATATCGTACATAACCTAATATTGAAAACGTATATAATACATACTAAATCACCGAATCGATTCATTTTTTTTTAACATGTATGTTACTCGGCCTTTTTCCTTATTGTTATACTTTTAACTTATTGTGTTCGTCGATTTTCATCTTGTTTTCTAAGTACATATATATTTTTACGGAATAATTCTTCTTCGTCGTTTTTGTACGCTTTATCAAACTCTATATTTAAATAAAATAAATGTAACGTAAATGTATTACAATCTATTCGATAGTTTTACATACATTTTGTACATACTTTAAACAAATTCCTTTATTTTGAAATATCACGCACTGTCATTGAGCACACAATACTGATAGCTGCGGCCACAAACCTCAAACCAACGAATTCCTTCATACTATTATCTTTAACAAAATTAAATAGCTAGAATAATTAGTAATTGTTATAAATTTTAATGGAAATTCAAATAAAAAAGACAATGTATAAAATCGCTAATCTGTTTTTAATTTATTTTTTGTTTTTCATTCAAATATCTATATAATATTTTATGCTAAGAATGATTTTCAATTTTATCTAATTTCGCATTAAATTTCAGTTTTGGCCAATTTTTATAAATATAATAATACCATAATTGTGTGCATAAAGTTGTAATCAGTTTTTTTCAAATTTGTCGTAAATACAACACTTGACGCTAAAAATGGACGAAATGAGAATTTTCGAATATTTTAAAAAATATTTGTCGGTTTTTTTAGTTGCTCTATTATTACTTAAATTTTTAATTTTAATTATAATATGAAACTACATTTACCAACATTTTTTGATGAGTGCTTATTTTTGTGCCGGACGTACACGATTTAATTGCGCAAAATTTCTAATGATTTAGACGTTCAGTTTAGAGCACAGCAATCATATGTTTTCCAAAATAATTTAAATGAGTATCTGTCCGCAGTAAAACCGCAGTCTGATAAATACCAATCAAATGCAAATTAAATATACGTGTTTTTCGACGAGAATACGCAAAAAACCATTCCGATTAGACATTTGTTTTTTTTTTTTTTTTTATTTACGCGAGTGCGTAAAAATAAATAATATTACGTATAATAACGTATCCAGAAGTCAATCGATAAAGAAGTATATAAAATGTTAATCGCGAGAGCTCGGTGTCTACCATCTATTGAAACAAATCGTAAACAATAACATTATCGGTGGTGTTCATAACACAAATATAAATCTGTATGTGATAATAACGGTTGTACTTTTATGTATCTGTTTACATTTTGTTTACACGTGCGTCGAAATCATTTTATATAAAAATTATTATTTATTTTTTGTTTTATCGGTTTTTTTTTTTTTCATTACGATGTTTTTATTCGCGCGATCATTTTTCAACCAAATATCTGCAGTTAAATTTTTTTAGAAATATTGCCAATATCTCGCGGTTGAATACCCGTAACATAATATTAATAATACTTCTGTTCTATTATAACATGCACGATATGGTGCATATTTTATTCAAATTGCCTAACATGTAATACTTTGCGCCCACAGTTGATTCCAATTTTCATGTCGAATGGGTCGGAAATTGTTCCTAATATGTTTCGAAATTTAAAGTTTGAAAATTTTGGAAGACCACGAAGAAAAATTGTTTTAATATTTTCGAATGTCAAAGCACCAATTTAATGTTCTACTTTTAAAAATTGAGAATAATATTTCCAAACAAAATACGCACTTTCGAGAAGCAATGCCTCCATAATAAAAATCAGCTGTTTGCTTGAGGCAAGTGAATTTAATATTTTAATCACAAAAATACATACATATTTATAATTGTTAATTAACATATTATATTTCGTATTTTTTATATTAAGAATGTATCCATGTACTACGTCTATAATAATTATAATATTGTTATTATATAATATAATATAATCTTTTTATATAAAAATCAAGCGTTCGACGAGTTTGTGTGCAATGCACTCTGAAACTTCTCAACAAACTATTTTACTCAATTATTAATAATATATGAGTTATAAAAATATGCATATTTCAACTAAATCGATTCCGACAGGTACCGACAGCCCGACATTCTTTGCTCGAATGTCTTGTCGTGTCGTGCCGTGTCATTTACGGGGCTTGCCGGATCGGTGTGAATTACCGTATTCAATTTAATTGATAGAATATTTTGACGAGCCGTGTCGTGCGAGTGTGAATCGGCCTTTATTTGAATAGATTAAGTTAGGATTTGTGTTGAAATCAACTAAAATTTGATACCACCGAAATTGACTAAATTAACATTATTATTTACAGACATAATTACAAACTCTAGGTTTAATCATTTTCACTGTGATAATGACAATTTTACTGTAAAAATTAACCAAACTTTACTTAAGTTAATAAATTAACTGAATATTTAAATTAACTTTCACTTCAATTTGGTTAGTTAATAATACGGTTAACGTTTAACGCACATAGTATAACTCGTTAACTTTGTTTCAATAAACAACTCGACACAAATTAATTTTAAACAAACAGAGTTATTCAACATAAATATTGTCTATAGTCTTGATAAAAATTGTCAACGGTTTTCAACGGCAATAAAAGAAAAAAAAGTACTACACATGTATAGACACGTTTTGTACAGCAGCAGAATAAATTACGGGTAAAAATAATACGTGAACTTGGCACTTGAAATGGCTTTATCTAATAGTCCAGGTCTAATGGTCAAATGGGATAACAGGGGGATTATATTCCCCTATTACTAAATTTTTCTTAAATATGTATAATATAATACATGCAAAACTTTTTTATAGTTTTTTTTGGTAGAGATCTACTAAGAATGTGTAATTAATAATAATAAACACAAATAATTCAGCTAAAATATACGTTTAAATAATGTTTTCATCACACTTTTGTTTAAGACTAATAATAATATTAATAAATAAAATTTACTAGAAATGAAATTGTCATTAAAAATACCGTTGAACCGTGTTAATTGATAATATTGACGACAAAACAATAATCTATTTAGATATTATCAGAGATTGTGATTTATCTATCTACTAAATAATTGTATAAAAATAAAAGTGAGGGTGCGTTCTCCGACAGCTGATAAGAAGAAAAGAAATAAATTGAAATCAAATGTATCAATATTGAAGCGTTAAAATCTCACCAACCAATCCAATAATTTATGTATTCATATCATAGACTTAATAATAACAGTAAAATATTAGTTATCACTTAACGCGTTGTCATTTTATTAACTGGATGCATTTATTGAACTTTTCTCTTACATCAGTTCAGGATTTTCAATTCCAAGTTATAAATAATGAAAAATTAAACACTATTGTTACCTAAAACTATTTATACTATTATAATTCATTATAGTTAACTATTTTACGCACATGCTAGATCATAATTTTACTGTGGTCCGTGATAAAACTAATTTTTAGTTAAATTTTAGTAATTTAAAATTGACAAACTAGTCGTAGATATTATATAGTGAATTATTATAATGTTCTATTGTGTATATGGTAGTAGTGGGTCAATGAAATAAACACTTAATTATCACGATAATGATAAGAATGTAATGTATATAAAATGCATAATGTATTCCGGGGTGGAATATTTACTGATACAAAAACATTATGAAGACATGTTTTAGATTTGTTTTACCGTTGTTTGGGCATGAATTCTTTTTTTTTTCCAACCAATTGTTGGAAAACGTTCCGGACCCCCGCAAAATAAAAACCGTATAAAGGGAGATCGACTACATTGAAATCGTCTGCGGTCGACCGTTTGGCCGCCCCTGACATAACATATTATACTATATGTCTTTATATTTACATAAAAAAAAGAAAAAGTTATGCAAATAATAATGGTTCTTAAAAACTGTTCTTGTTCCAATGGCCAAACGATTTGAACAGTTTTCGGGTTCAACCATGGTCATTTAGTTCGTTTCAAGATTCCGTTTAAATCGATCGATTCCTGTGGGAACATTCGAATACTACCGCCAATAGTTAATTGATAACACCGGTGTCGCGTATCGACAGTGTCCCAAACGGTTTGCATTGGCTGAATAAAACCGTTTTAAAAACAATCGTTCGAAAACCGTAGGCCTGCGGACGCGCAGCCGCTTACCTACGAGTCGTCGCAATAATCGTTGTAAAATTGGCGACACACGGGGCCGCGAGGCGAATTTCGTGTTTCCGATCGTTCGCGATGAAACGCCCAAGTACTCGCGCATAAAAAAAAAAAAAAATGTTATTTCGAAAACGCCCGAGTACAGTGTTATGCGGCGGTGACGCAACCACAATATTATTATTATTATTATTCAAATTCCAGTTCTATAACACGAGCATATCGATGGTTACATATTATTATTATATCATTAGTGTCGCTTTTTTGATAATTAATATGATATTGTAATACACACGCGCATTAGAAAACGACATTATAATAATATTCGTGTGGTTTTTTCGACAC